AACTGAAACCTCCTAGCACCTGGTGCAACCTCAGGTAATAACTTGGTTGCACCAGACAAAAATAGGTTGCACCTGCTGCTCAATATGAAAAGCATATTTATATGCTTGAGTTTTGGTGTTGAGAACATTATTATGGCAAAATTATTCTGGGTCTGATAAGTTCATTGTCCAGGGTTTTACCCACTCACAAACATGGGGTGCCATTAATTTTAGGGGTCCTAGCAGGCAATATGAGGGTCCTGTGAAGTAACGGTGTAGAGAACTGTACGGTTTGATAATTTCTTTAGAGCCTGGGATGACTCAATGATCATCTGGACTGAGGGTTGAAATAATGCAAGTAACTGTTCTGAAAGAAACATCCAAACAGCAAAGTCAAAGATGTGATGTCGGTACAGTGAATAATATTGTGCGTCCTTCAGGATGCAGTGAATTCTTTGTCGTGTCCATTATCTATATTTGTGCATCACGTGAAACCCTGATTGTCTTATAATTTCATGACATGAGCAGACAGTCATGCAATCACAGATTGTGTAGTCAATACAGTCACTGCTCCAAGCCAGTTCCTCATTCTGTTTTTCGACCCATGAAGGTCCAGGTTAGAATGAAATTTCTGTAACCCATGCTTGTCGTCAGAGGCGACTAACGGGACTTAGTTGCCACATGTCATCTGTTCCCAATTGTTGATTACTGGATTGTCTGGTCCAGACTCAATTATTTACAGACCGCCGCCATATAGCTGGAATATTGCTGAGTGAGGCGTAAAATTAAACTCACTCACTCACTACTGCTAGCCTGCCAGCCCGCCAGCCCAAGGCGAGTACAGATTTCCCCATTGTTTTAACTTGACACAGGGCAATTTGTCTCTACCTGGGCCAGCTAATGCATTTAGTTCTAACCCTGTACTTTTTATTGCATACCTTGCTTGTCAAAATGTAGATGCGGGTCGCTGGTGGATCAGATCCTTGGGCTCTGTGATTTTACAGAGTTGCGTCCCTTGGGCATGCCAGAAACTGTGACTGTGGGTTTTACCAAAATGGTTGATGTTCACTACATCACTATCACTTTCATGCGTAATTTTAAATTAAAGTTTAATTCAAGTTTAATTTTAACCTAGTTTGGAATTGGAGACTGTCTGGACACTTTATTGAAGCCATCAACAAGTGTCCAGTTTCAATACCCCCTAGTATAGTCATCCGTCGCAATAACGCCTTCTGTGATACCACGGTTTCAGTTAAACCGCGGGGTAATCTGTGGCTCCCATCAAAAAAAGTTGCCAAGCGATCACGCATCTTCACATCATCAGAAATAGCATATCAACAAATCCGCTGTTGTGCTTCGGTTAATTAAGGTGGTAACCTAGGGAAATATGTTAATGTTATCTGGGGGATGTGTCTCTGTTGTTTCTTTTGAGACGATAAGATCCATTCTTGTGCATCAAGCACTGGGGAAGCCCTAAGACTTGGGTTCTTTTCCCAACATGGCAACATGTGAAACCCTTCCTGAAGAAGCTCCTGGAGTGGCAGAAGACCATACTTTTGCATGATATTTTGGAATGGCAATATGTATCACATCGTGATGTGTATCGATACATGAGGTAAATGTATCTCGACGGCTCTGATACCTCATCTTTGATGGAATGTTAGCCCTAGCTGTCATTTGGCTACATCAATAATAAATAAAAAACTTAAGTTTTCAAATCCACCGAGATGAACCTGCTTCTAAGCTCGAGCCCATTAAGATCTTCTTTTTCCAGTTCTCCTACCAGTTGCAAGTGATATTCTATACTTTATAATTTTCTCATGAATTATTGATTAGAATCTTCACCTGATCAATACAGCACACACACAAGTGTGATCTGCACAATCCATGCAGCTACAGGTTTTTACCCCACTGCCTGACCAATCTAAGTTGACTGTTGACGTAATTGTGCAATTTTGTTCAATATTTTTGCTGTACTTCACATGTTCATCAAGCTATTGATCTGACTCTGACCTTTTGCGATTTGGAGCTATAATTTTTAAATACAGTAACAATGGTTGTGTGTGTTCCTTGTTGAAGGTTCAAAAGAAAAGGCAGTTCAGTGCTTGAGAACCGTCTCCGTGGTGTAGTGGTTAAAGCGTCAGCCCGGAGTGGGGTATTCATGCTTCACTGCGGCATGGTATCTCAGTGGGCTAGCACTATAAAACCAGCTTAAGTCTGGGCTAGTACAAGCAGCCGCTTATACCCATACACACATACACACGCATGCACGTCGTCATATGAGCCAAATATTCTCAAGCACGACCTTAAACCCAATTCCACCTCACCTCACCTCACCTCACCTCACTTCACCTCAGTGCTTGAGATGTGTCCTTTGTGATGTAGTTTAAAAATAGTCTGGAATTGCATTAGGAATTGTTTTCAAATTTGATAATTGATTTCGAGTTGGGTAATTAAATATTTATGCAAAGCATGTATGTAATAATGAATTCACCTGAACTGCAACTAGTAATGCAGACATTGATGAAATGTATTGTCAATATCAGCTCAGTATACTAGAACACTTTTTCGATCATGCACAGGTGGTCAAGTTGTGTAGGTGGAGCTGTAATTAATTGTGCACCATTGCAACTCGTAGCTTTGAGTTCAGAATTCTTTAGGGGCGATGGGGTAGCCTTGTGGTGAAAGCGTTCTCTCATCAAGCCAAATACTCAGGTTCAATTCCCCACATGGGTACAATGTGTGAAGTCCATTTCTGGTGTCCCCCACTGGGATATTGCTTGAATATTGCTAAATGCGGCGAAAAACTAAACCCACACTCAGAATTCTTTAATCGTGTTTACGGATACAAAGTTTGATTTGATGAGTTTACTGTAGTGATAGGAAATATTTACAAAATGTAGAAACATCCAGAAATATATTTGAAAAAATCTAAAAATGTAAAAATCTCTTGGACGATTTATCAGTAGCCTTTCTTCCCACGTCAAGCTGACATGCTCTGATGAACTGTTTAAATTCCACCATATTTAATCAATGCAAGGTTCAATATTTTGAAGAAATTGATTTTGCTCAAATGATTAATTCTTTGTTTCCATGCAGTCTGTTTAAGTTTCAATTAACTGCCACACATCTGTAGCTTGGTGATATGACAAATAATGTCCAAAAGCATTTGATCCAGTTATTTAGGTGTGGCAAGGAGACTGATATCATTCATTATTAAAGCCAGATGCTTCACAGAGTGTGTTTGTCATACTGATCTGTGGCGCGGTGGGGTAGCGTAGTGGTTAAAGCGTTCGCTCGTCACACCAAAGACTCAGGTTTGATTCCCAGCATGGGTTCAATGTGTGATGGGGCGGTGGGGTAGCCTAGTGGTCAAAGCGTTGGCTCGTCACGGCGAAGACCCGGGTTGGAATCCCCACATAGGTACAATGTGAGAAGCCCATTTCTGGTGTCTCCCCGCCATGATAGTGCTGGAATATTGATAAAAGGGATGTAAAACCATGCTCTCATACTGATCAGGTTGTTGATGCTTGCTTTATTTATCAACATGATGCTGTTGTGCATGTAATATGTCTACATAACCTGCTGGACCGCCTCCGTGGTGTAGTGGTTAGAGCGTCTGCCCGGAGAGCGGAAGGTCGTGGGTTCGATCCCAGACCGTGTCATACCAAAAGATGTTAAAATATGGTACTTGTTGGTCCCTGCCTGGCACTCGGCATTAATGGGTACAACAAGGACTGGTCGGCTCGGAGTCAGTATAATGTGTCTGAGTGGGGTATTCATGCTTCACTGCGGCATGGTATCTCAGTGGGCTAGCACTATAAAACCAGCATAAGTCTGGGCTAGTACAAGTAGCCGCACCTACACATACACACGCATGCACGTCGTCATATGAGCGAAATATTCTACAGGGCGACGTTAAACCCAATTTCACCTCACCTCACATAACTTGCTGGCCCAAGTTTCTCCATCCTGATTGTTTGGAAGTAGGAAGTATATACACCTATGTACTTTGTACTTTACATTCTCAGCAATGTCATTGTCTAATCTGACCAAGTTCACTTCCCTATCTGCTAGCCACCAGGATTTACTGAAACAAAATTTCTGCAAAAAATAATTCCTCGTTTGTGTAATTTGTGGAATTAATTCCCTGTAGGATGATTGACCGATTATTACATCATTCAATGAAATCCTGGATGTTGGTTATCTGTAGAAAATCGTTACATCACAGAAGTCTTCTTTACTTAGCTATGCACAATCAGTTGTGCAGACAATAGTGTCAGGCTGCCTATGACCTTGTTACATGGAAGACAGGAAACCACAATTCCTTCCTGTGTGTGTTGTGTTGAGTCAACATCAGAATTTTTTTGATAGCACACTTAGGTAGCTGTCGAAATGTAGGGGATTCATATCTTCAGTTGAACTTTGCTGGATATTTTGTATCTTATTTTTACTGATTATTCTGGGTTAGGTTTCAGTATTTGAAATTCATTTCTTCTGTTTCCTGTGCTGAAGTGCAATAACATGAACAGCTTCTGTTGATCATGTTGATGTCCTAGGATTTCGTGATTTTGTCCAGTTTGCCTAGACAGAAATATGGAAGCCCAGATTCCACTGATTATTCCTTTTAATTGTATATTATTGTTCCATAGATATAGATGTTTTGACCTGTGAAAAATGTACTGGTTTATCTGATGATAGAAATGAATTTTAACATTGTGTATACTGACCTGTGAAGATCTGGGTTAGAATTGGTCTTCAGCAACCCATGATTGTCGTAAAAGGCAACTAATGGGATCGGGTTGGTCATACTCGCTGACATGTTGACACATCTCATCGTATGCCAGTTGCGTACATTGATGCCGATGTTGATTTCTGAATTATATGGTCTATATATACTGCCATCATATATTTGGAATATTGCTGTGTGCTGCGTTAAACAACAAAACAAATTGTGTGAACCCTTTTCACTTTCTCGCTTGCTTCATAGAAATGTACTAATGTCTCTTATTTGTTTTCAGGTATTCAGGATGTTGTCGTTCCATATGAGAAAATTTGACTTGGTGATCGGGACACTACTGTCCTGACGCCGTTGTTGAATAACCGCTAGAGTTGTCTCCCCTGACGAGGTGAGTTGTTTAACGAAATGTTTGATCAGTGGCAGGGAATCGTGAATGACCTGCTTAGATACTGCAGAACACAAAATGTATCAGGTGATCAGACTCAGAGACTTGGCTGATTGAAAGTCATCGTACCCTGAAGTTGAACCCGTAGGTTACAACTGGTCTTCAGCAACCTATGCTTGACTAACAGGATTGGGTGATCAGGCTCGCTGACTTGGTGGACACATGTCATCGTATCCCAGTTTCGTATATCAATGCTCATGCTGTTCATCACTGGATTGTCTGGAGACTTGATTATTTGCAGACTGCTGCCATATAGCTGAAATATTGCTGAGTGCCTTGTCAAAACAACAACGCCGGACACCCGGGTTCGATTCCCTACATGGGTACAATGTGTGAAGCCCATTTCTGGTGTACCCCGTCGTGATATAGCTGGAATATTGCTAAAAGCGGCGTAAAACTACACTCAGTCAGTCAGTCAAAACAACAAACAAAACAATGCCCAGAAGTTGTTTTGGGCTTACGAGGCTCAGAAGGTTGATTGCCGTCTTTACAGGTCTCCTACCTCGTGTTGGTTGTAATGAATTGTCGGGGATTTTGATGATACAGATGGAGGGACAAAATGTTAGAAATGGCGTCTCATGTCCATCACTTGATCATCTTGTACAATCAATTACGTACAGACCACTGTTGTATGGCTGGATTATTAAGCTGTTTGTTTTATTCTCTCTTACTCACTCACTGTGAAGAGTTACCTCCCTTTTGTCATTGTTACCTCATCAATGCTAACATTGTTACCTTCCTTCTGTCATTGTTCTCATCCCTCACACCAGTGAAGATTCGGGTTAGAATATTGATCTTCAGCAACCCATGCTTGTCACAGAAGGCGACTAACCTTCTAACGGGATCGGGTGGTCAGGCTCGCTGACTTGGTTGACACATGTCATCGGTTCCCAATTGCGCAGATCGATGTTCATCATGGTGATCACTGGATTGTCTGGTCCAGACTCGATTATTTACAGACCGCTGCCATATAGCTGGAATATTACTGAGTGCAGCGTAAAACTAAACTCACTCACTCACTCTCATCCCTCACACACAATTTTAAATAATGCTTCATTTGGAGTTATTTTGTGTAACATCGCTGGTGAAGTGCTTTAAGATAACTGAAGAGAAACCTCCTATTATAGATGCCTATTTCAATCATGGACTCTCGCTTTGTCATAATCTTTGGCTTTATAGTTTATTGTGTTTTATTCTTAGTTTAGTTTTTGTTTAAATGCAATTGAAAGTATCCATGGTAACAATTATAAAACAGTAATGAGAACTTTGGTTAATGCATGGAAAGGTTGATGTGTGAAACTGGATCCTTTGAATTATTGAATCATACTTCATATTTGGTCTGACTTGTATTCATAAAAGATGGTTTATTCAATTAAGTGCTGGTATTTACTTTTCGTTTAAATCGTCGTTTTAACCCCTTGCAACAAAGAGAAAAACATCAAAATGACTAGAATTGTAGTAGGATGGAATATGTTATGAACATAGAATGTGACCTGTCAATCTTGTGGCATGTAAGAAAATAGCAATAGCAAATTCAGTGACGTTCAGGAGAGATTTGACCTTGGGAAAGCTGATTCAAGGTTGTAATAATCCATAACAACCCCAGATTTCCTTGAAGTTCAGTGCTTTACATTTGAATAAAGGGCCCTTATCATTATGAAACTTGTAAGGGTTATTACAAGTACCCCTTTAATTATGTTTTTAAATGTTGATGAAGCCCATTTCTGGTGTCCCCCGCCGTGATATTGCTAGAATGTTGCTAGAAGTTGCGTAAAACCAAACTCACTGTGTTCATGGAAAGGCCGAATTCCTCAATGGCCGACTCTGATGTATTCCTTGGCGTCACAATGCAAATGCACTGACGTTTAGTGTATTTTCGTGTTTATGTACGGATAACTTATTAAGGCTGATTTTCTATATAGATCATTGATCAGTAATTGTTAGCTAAATATTGATAAATTATTAATTTTGCAAAGTAGCTTAAGATCCAAAAAAAAAGTGGACTAAATCAATATATTTCATGTCACTGCTTCGGGGTGACATGTTTATGTATCGATTTATAAACAAACAGCATGTCAGAACATAATTTAGAAGCAGCCTATGATATTTCTGATTATTGATCATTTTAGTAAGCCCTACAATTAGTAGTTGATCTCACAAGACAAACGAAAAACTTTTAAGCTGAGGTTGAATTTACAGGCTTCTGATGAAATTTGACCAACGTGTAGCGAGTGGATTTAATTTTACGCTGCTTTCAGCAATATTCCAGCTATATGGTGGCGGTCTGAAAGTAATCAAGTCAGGACCAGACAATTCCGTGATCAACCGTATGACTCTATGAGCATCGACCTATGCAATTGGGATACAATGTCAACCGAGTCAGTGAGCCTGACCACCCGATCCCGTTGGTCGCCTCTTCTTACGACAAGCATAGGTTACTGAAGATCAATTCTAACCCTGATCTTCATGGGTCGGTGCATGCACAGTGCCACATGAATGCAATAATCTTGAACATCAAAGTTGAACTGCATATCACATCATCGCAGGTGTCTGTTGACGTGGAATGATGATGTGTGTTGATGTTACTGTCCCCGTTGGGATTCTGGGTCCAATAGTCCTTTGCAACCAATATTAAGGGATCAGGCAGTCAGGCTTGGTGACTGTTCATGTAGAGTCTGTCCTTCAGCGGAGTGGATCATTCCTTAAATATGTCACTGTTTTGTCTGGCCCAGACTAAATTATTATCCCACCGGCATATAATGCGGTGGGATATAGTCATCGCCTCGTCCGTCTGTCCGTCCGTCCGTCCGTAATCATTTTGTTTCCGGACCATAACTCAAAGACCGTTTGATATTTTTTTAACCAAAATTGGTAGATATGTCAAACATAACCTAAGGTGGTGCCTTTTGCTATTTACAGATAATTGTCATTTTTATTTTTCTCGGTTTCCATGGAAACGTTTTGGACTTAGTCTTAAAGAAGGGTGGGCTTCGTTTCCGGAGCATAACTCAAGAACCATTCAATATTTTTCAACAAAACTTGGTAGATATATCAAACAGATCCTAAAGTTGTGCCTTTTGCTATTTGCAGATTTTTGGCATTTTTATTTTTCCCCCGGTTTCCATGGAAACGATTCGGACTTAATCCCAAAAGTGAGGGGTGGGCTTCGTTTCCGGAGCACAACTCAAAAACCTCTCTATATCTTTCAGCAAAACTTGGCAGATATGTGAGGCAGATCTTGAAGTGGTGCCTTTTGCTATTTGCAGATATTTGTGATTTATTATTTTCTCGGTTTCCATGGAAATGATTCGGACTTAGTCTCAAAAAGGAAGGGATGGGTTTCGTTTCCAGAGCACAACTGGAAAACTTCTTAATATCTTTCAGCAAAACTTGGCAGATATGTGAGGCAGATGCCAAAGTGGTGCCTTTTGCTATTTGCAGATATTTGTGATTTATTATTTTCTCAGTTTCCATGGAAACAATTTGGACTTAGTCTCAAAAGGGAGGGGTAGGTTTTGTTTCGAACTGCTTGAAAACTTCTTAATATCTTTCAGCAAAACTTGGCAGATATGTGAGGCAGATCCCAAAGTGGTGCCTTTTGCTATTTGCAGATTTTTGTCATGTATTTTTTTCATGATTTCCATGGAAACGATTTGCACTTAGTCTAAAATCAAGCTGGACTTTAAGTAACTGTCAGATGATTTGTTCTTTCAAAGATATGGGGGCCGGGGGGATATGTCATCTTCTGATGACTCTTGTTTACAGGATGCCATAGTACGGATGGAATGTTGTGGGGGTCTGGGTCTTATAAAACGGACAAAATGGGGAAAAGTTAAAGGTATGAACAGTCGGAACATGATACTTGACCAATGTATAAGTGATGGTTGAACCATGCACAGTTCTCTTATACATGTATTTTACAGCATTTTGCTCATCGCTCAGCAACACACTGCTCGTAATATAAAGAAATTCAAAGAAGGGCCAGTAAGTTTATGTTGACTGACAAACCAGTTTAGTTTCATCATGAACTGATGAGACTATCTATGTTTACACTACTGGCTTGCAAACATTTAGTCACATCTTTATTTATTTAGTTTGATTTCCTTATAAAAGAAAAATGTTATCTGAATTTGAAAAGACTATTGTTGTTTGATTATGTTCATGACCACACTGGGTATGTAAATATAACTTATGAAAAAATATTTGACTAATTCATGAGGAAACAAAACTCCAATGATGATGCCCGTTTAGAACTGTCATAGTTTATCTATCTTTCATTTCTTGCTCCCAAAATACCTTTCTATCCAAATTTAGCTATTCTTTGAAAACTGCATTGAATGCATGTATGTCTTGAAATCGTTAAAACTTCGTGTTATTGATAAGCGGGTCCAGATCCAACTAGGAAATACTGGTTTATGTCAGCAGACGTCAAATTGATAAAAGTATTTCTAATCAAATTAATGAATAAAATATTTTAATGTGATACCAACCTGTGAAGATCCGGGTTAGAATTGGTCTCCCATGCTTGTTGTAAGAAGATCAGGTGGTCAGGTTTGCTGACTTCGTTGACACGTCATCGTATCCCAATTGCGTAGATCGATGCTAATGATATTGATCACTGGATTGTTTAGTCAGTTATATACAGACTCTGTCATATAGCTGGAAAACTTCTCAGTGTGGCGTTATGGAAACACACAAAGATCAAACAAGCCCAAAAATACCAAATATTATGTAAATATTCGTGTCTGGACCAGCCAATCCAGTAATCAACAGCGTGAGCATCGATGAGATGTGATGACATTAGGGGGTGCAACGAATACACTACGTGGCAAATATGATACATATCATGAATATTGGGTAACGAATACGAATAATTATTCACGAATACAATATTGTAGCTAAATGATTGATGTACAATATGGAATGCCCATATTGACAGTTTTGATTTGTCACAGCCATAACCAGTGATCTCATGACACTCAAATTTGGTATGTAATAGTTATAGTTGACAGTACCATGTGCGGCCCTGGCAAACTAACATGACTTACGCTACTGCAAGGCTAGTACATTTTCCATTTTTGCATATCTCTCTTTCCAAAAGTACACAAGGGTTCAAGTAAAACGTGCTCCCTTAAAAAAATATTTGTTAATATTCGGTTCTGGTGACCACGATTAACGAATTGAATTAATGAAGGGCTACGGTTCGATTAATCGAATATGCAAGTGAATCGTTACAGCCTTAGATGACATGTCAACTAAGTCAGCAAGTCTGACCACCCGATTTGTCACCTCTTACGACAAGCATGGGTTGTTACCGACCAATTCTTCATGGGTAGCTCAGAAGCAAGACTGTGTATGAAATTTGCACAAAGTAATTGATGAGGCACGTAACATTTACATTCAGAACTGATCCACATGAACAACAAGATTTATTAAGTTTCCACAGCGATGTAATAGAGCAGCTTTTTTGCATATACTTATATCTGTATTGTGAGAATCACGTAAACAGATCTGAAGGTTTTGCTCCCTTGAAAGGAGAATTGAGAAAGCTAACTGCTGATTGGTTGATCAGAAAGGTCATGTGATTGAGGGATTGTCAGGTTTCATAACTGAGTTTATCATCTTGTTATAATGAAAATGTCACTAGCTGCAAACTATATTGAGTTTAAAAGTTCATTTTAGATTGTTGCTAATATGAACTGATTGTAAATACAAATATATTTTGCCATATCCCTTTTTGTTTATCAAAATATGTTTTCCAGAAACAGTGTTTCCCTTGATTCTCATTGTCGTAAGATTGATTTGGTAGAATTACTTGGAATATATTTCTCTGTTTTCTTTTCAGATTGAGACAAATATTTTCCCACTCGGTATCAGCCCACCTTGCAGGATTCGCGGTCAGGAGTCATCGTGGGATATACACTTTAATCAAGGTGTCCCTATCCAGCTCATGGAAAAAAGGCGGCCTGTACAGCCGATCAAGAAGCCACGAATAGACACTCCCACCAGTGAGTACTTCTCTGTTGGAAATAGTCCATTTCAGGGTTTAGAGATTTGGTTCCCGGATTTAGGGATTTGGTTCAGGGTTTTGAAATTCCGTTCGAGGGTTTAGAGATTTGGTTCCAAGGTTTAGAGATTTGGTTCCAGGGTTTTGAAATTTGATTCAGGGTTTTGAAATTCCATTCAGGGGTTTAGAGATTTTGTTCCTGGGTTTAGAGATTCTGTCAAGGCCCAGGTTAGAAATCAGCCTATATTTTCACTAGTTTGTAAACAGTAACTGCTAGTTCCATTTACCTGAAAATGGTGCCTGTGGTTCACAAGGAAATGTCTCTAGTCCTTCCTGAATGTCTCCGACCAACGGACGAAAGATAGTTTGTTATCTGAGAACAGCTTGATAAAAGCTGTGGTATATGGGAATATAGATTTAAGTTTTGACATTCAATTTCACCCTTTCATCTGTCTTGACCTTTGCTCTGTCAGCTTATTAAACACTTCCGAAATGTGGTTTTACAGCCTTCTAGGGTGCCATTGAGCGTTATGGAAAGGTCTGTAGTCAAAGAACACCTCAAATCAGGTAGTGCAGCCAAGTTATGGAATCATAGTATTTTAGCATTTCTGGATCTGTTTTCAAAGAGAACCTGATGAATGAGGTATTAAGTATTTTAGCATCATGGGAGGTGTTGGACAACTGCAACACTTCAGTGACACAGCCATATCATTCAGATTACCTTAAAGACCTGTCTGTAAAACCAATCCAAGGACCCTTACCCAGGGCTCCAGATAACTTTTGGGGGTGCGAGTGTACTTACACATCATATTGCAAGTGGAGGTGTACTAAGAATTTTGAAGGAGTGCTGACATGTTTTTGAGTGAGCGAGTTGGTGATGTGGTTTGTCTGGATGATTCATCGATCACTATTTCCAACCATGCATTTGTATTTGAAGACGTGTGAGAAATAACTGAGCGACCGTGTGATGCGCGAAATGTCAGGTCCGACTGGATATAAATAGGAACAGTGTAGTTTTTAGCCAATCGAAAAATAGTGACGCATATCGTTGCATGGCAACGCAAGGGATTCCTACTGTCGGGGTTTCCTCTTATAAGTGGCATAAAACCATACTCACTCACTAACTTATTTTATCTCGGTTTTGGGGATCACCTGCTATGATTATAAATGAAATACCAAACCGTCTTATCCCTAACCCACATTTGCGTTGTTCCAGTGTCGATCCGTGGACCAATCCCTAACGGGCCGATGCACCCCCGTCCCTTGGTAGCACTCCTGGACGGTAGAGACTGTTCCATCGAGATGCCCATCCTCAAAGACGTCGCAACAGTCGCCTTTTGTGATGCACAGTCTACTACAGAAATACATGAAAAGGTTGGTGACGTCATATTGCTCTCCCTGAATTGCTCAGTCATCATGTCATATGTTTTATATTATATACCCTGAACACATTTGCAACAGAAGCTGTTGTGTCTCTCGGGACAACTTCTTTCAATGTAACCTTGAAATTGACAGCCAATCAAAATGCTTCTTCTGAACAAAGTTGGGTGTTGGCCAACATTTGAAAGATTGCTCTGTCCAAGCTTGCTATTATTATGTTGTTGACTAGGACTGGGCTACAAAGTTCTCATCATACAAGACTTTCCAGCTGAATTGTGGCAACAACTGAAGTCAAGTTGTCTAAAAAAAAAAAACCTGTTTCTGTTACTAAGAAATGGAGAATTTGATCAGGGCTCGATTTAAGAGATGGCAACCAACTTTTAGATGCAACCTAAGATAAAACTCTAAAAGATGCTTTTATTGCAATATGTAATGAAAGTTTTGAAGGAAAATGAGCTGACATAATTATGCTTATAATGTTAGATTTGTTTTTGTTTTATTTATCAAAAATTGACTTGCACCTTGTGCAATTTAGACTAATAACTAGGTTGTAGTAACTTTGTAGTTTTTGGATGAAACAGTGCAAGTAACAAAGCACTAAATCGAGCCCTGTTGATTACTATAATTTGTCCATTTTTTGCATAAATATCTATTGCACCAGGCTCAAAACAAAGGTAGAAGTACAAATCGGTCCAGCGTATTAGATCAGAGAGGTGATAATAGATGATCGAGAATGGTGTAATGTCATTGGAAATGTTCTTACAATTTTCTTTGAACAGAAGTGTTAGGTTAAACCTAAATAGCTATAAATGACAGAACTTGTGGCTCTGAAGGTGATTGTGGATTGGGTCAGTCTGTGTTAAGATGGGACGGTGGGATAGCCTAGTGGTTAAGGCGTTAGCTGGTCATACTGAAGACCTGGGTTCGATTCCCCACATGGGCACAATGTGTGAGGCCCGTGCTATGGCTAGAATATTACTGAATGTGGCGTAAAACTGAAGTCACTCACTCACTGTGTTAAGGGATTTATCGAGAATTTATTACTAACTGTAGGCATGTTGTTCTTTTACTTAAAATTTACTACTTTCTTATGTTCAGAAGTAACAATGCTATTGGGAATGTATTATACATGAAACTAAGCATTAAAACGTAGTATTCATTGGTTTCCATTTATTGTTGAAATATAGGGTATGGCTTGTTAGTGAGGTGAGGTGAAATTGGGTTTAACGTCGTGCTTGAGAATATTTCGCTGATATGACAACGTGCATGCGTGTGTATATGTATGTGCGGCTGCTTGTACTAGCCCAGACTTAAGCTGGTTTTATAGTGCTAGCCCACTGAGATACCATGCCGCAGTGAAGACCCCACTCAGACACATTATACTGACTCCGAGCCGACCAGTCCTTGTTGTACCCATTAATGCCGAGCGCCAGGCAGGGCCAAACAAGTACCAACGTCTTTTGGTATGACGCGGTCGGGGATCGAACCCGCGACATATAATTCCAATTCATGGATATTTGACATTTGTTGCAGTCAAGAAAAATCCTCATTTCAAGGTGTCAGAGTGTAATGTAGTTATTCATATTCATATAAATGCTGATCTATATTTTTGGTATTGCTATGTCAAACAAAAATTTCACAAATGTAAATTCATAATTTCAAAAGAGCATTAAGCTTAAACAAATTTTTGCATAGAAAAAAAAAAACAAAACGGATTGATATGGGAAGGGAGGTAACTCTTGCATTGAAAGAAACCCAAAGCTCCAAGTTGGTTTAGATTTTTTGCTCCTAACTATTCTTTCTCCACCTAACTAGATATCATTAAGATGTATAGTTTTGTTATTTTGACCACTTACCTTTTATTTTTGAAATAAAAGTGTCTTAATGGCAAGTAATAAAAAATGTTTATGTTCAGTTTTTATCAAATATTAATTTGCAGGTAAATAAGAACGGCAGTTTTTGCTGTGAATTTGGAATTTCTTAATAAGTCCTTATTTTCTGAAGGTCTGTGGTATTTTGATATTTCATTCAATGCAAAAAAAATGGATAACTAAAAGTCTCCTTTTTAAGTCATTGAAATGAAAATCTCTACAAAGCAATAACAACAGTTATTACTTTAATGCTATGACTTGGCAAGTCTTTTGTCCAATCTTGGAATTTTATGGACATTTGCTGCGGGGCTACAATTATGTAAATTGTCCTGTCAACAATTCAAATTGCTGCTGCATCAGAAGTTTTGAAAACTTCTTTCTCTGTAACCATGGAAACCTTTGGATGTGTTTTTTTTTTAAAATTCATACTGTTTATGAGAGGTTGTCTTTCAATCTAGTAGTTATAAAGTGTTGAAAATTTCAAAATGGCCACCATGGTAACACTTGTTTGAAAGGAATATTTTTGAAGCTCCATGGTTTATTCAGTGAGCTGGTGAGATTTAGGTGAAATATAAAGACTTTTTTAATGTGTGTTAATACAATTCCACACTCATTATGTGGAATATACAACAGATTCTCCTCAATGTTCTAGCCGCGTGTAATATGTCATTTTCTTGATACACTTATGTGTAAATTAATCTGAAATGTAAATGTTTCTGTTACATGTGTATTTATCTCTGAAATATGATGCCAACTAAATTTGTTGGCATTATAGTTTAATTAGTCATTAAGAGTCTGTGTAGAGAAATCCATTGCTTCATGTTGTCCAGAAATTAAAAACTAACTTAAATCAAGGCATTGTGTCCCAGGTCATTCCTGGAAATGTTATTGATTGGTTGATGTATTTATTTATTTTTTTTTTGCTGCTCTTCCTATGCTCTTGAGTTCACCGAATTGAGAAACATCTGATACCTGCCTTACTTCAGCTTTTTGGGGGCAGTGGGGTAGCCTAGTGGTTAAAAATTTGCTCGTTATGCCGAAGACCCGGGATCAATTCCCAACATGAGTACAGTGTGTGAAGCCCATTTCTGGTGTCCCCTGCCATGATGTTGCTGGAATATTGCTAATTATGTTCCGGATGCTGTTTTGCTTTTGGATGAATATGTCAGTATTGCAAAACATGATGATTTCTTTCAGTTGTTTGGTCATTTTTGCCCAAAGTTACTTCTTCCATATTTATTGACAACTGATCGATATTCAGCTACTGATTATCGTTCGTCATGATCTATATCGATAATCAACCCTGGTTGTTATTCTTATTTATGTGCACATTGCAGGTACTAAACGAAGCGGTTGGAGCTCTGATGTGGCATACCATCACGCTTACTAAAGAGGATCTTGAAAAATTCAAAAGTTTACGTGTGATAGTGCGAATCGGTAGTGGTTATGATAATATAGACGTCAAAGCTGCTGGAGAAATGGGTGAGCAGAATTGATTTTTCTTTTCATCACGTTTAAGTACTAAAATATTTATTTTATTGCATTCTTTATCAATTTTACTGGATTCATTTTCTGTGATAGTAAATCATTATGCTTGTGTATTTCTTCTTGTTCCCATTGTGTGAGTTTAATGCGAATTTCGATAAGCTTTTGTTCGAGGTTTCAACTTTGGCTCTTTGAGAAATCAATAGTTTGTGATATTGACGGTAATCTGTGCTAACTTCCATGCCTGCTGTATCGTGTGGCTTTGTACTTGATAGCAAAATCTGACATTTCTTCAGCCCTCTTACAACCAGAATATTCAACAGAATTAAAAAAACATCAACTTCAATCTTTATGAGTTTGAAATTTTCCATGGATAATATGACTGTGATAATAAGGAGCTTGTGGCCCATTAATAGAACAACAAAAAGAACTTTGTTCAAGATATCAGGATAAGCAGGTTAAATTCATTTTAAAAATTGATTTTCATGCCATAAAAATCTGTTAAGAAAAAAACCAGATTTTATGGCTAGGAAAACTGTGCTTCCTGGACAAAATGATTAAAGATTTTCAGACCACACAAACTGACATCAAAGCCATGAATATATTTTTATTTTATTGACAGTTTGTGCATGTTTTTATGAGGAAAAAAAAGAGACTTTGATGTTTTTGTGAAATATCCCAAAATATAATTCAGTGGAAAAAGGTAAATAATGTTAGCAAAGTTCACATTAGGATGGATATTGTGTAAGCCTTGAGGTAACGAAAATGCTTTTTTGCAGTATTATAATCTCTTCATTTTGTAAAAGTCACAGCTCCGTCGTCGGCTGAATTGTGTATCAAAGTATGGGAGTTCCCATCTTCTCAGGTTACAGAATAGGCCCTGCATACTAGTCATGTTACGAGTTTGGTGAATCAAACCGCATCCCTTCATGAAATCAATTAATATTCATGGCCACTTGAATAGAAAAATTAATGAATAGTTCTAAGAGTGTGTTTACTTGGAGTTGGCTGTTTATCTAAGTGAGATATGCAAAATAGAACATATCCAAGACTCGCAGTAGCGTAACGTGTGTCATTTTGCAGTAGCCCCTCACAGCGTTGTCACTAGGTGTAAGCGACATTAATGATTTTCAGCTTTTGAATGTTTCACTGTAAGCAATTACATGACATGTTTTATTTTAATTTCCAGATATTAAACATAAGACATTCATGAAAATATATTCGTATAGGTTACTGTGTAATCATAAAACATCATATTTGCCTTGTGTATGTATTCAGTGCAGCCCTACTGCTATGCATACCTTTTACACCTTAACGATCTTGTGCTGCAGGTATTGCTGTGTGCAACGTACCAGGCTATGGTGTGGAAGAGGTAGCAGATTCTACTATGTGTTTAATACTGAACTTATACAGACGGACTTACTGGCTCGCTAATATGGTCAAAGAGGGCAAGAAAATAAATGGCCCTGAACAGTTACGTGATGCAGCCCAGGGGTCAGCTCGTATCCGTGGTGACACACTAGGAATTGTGGGTCTAGGTAAGAAATTTAATTGTTGGATAGTTTTAGTGACCTGACATTGATGACACTTCATGTAAATGTAGTCATCACATATGACTGAGTGTTGAGATAAATGTGAAATATTTTTTCAGAGGTACAGATAAGCTGCGTATCTGCGTAAATTACGCAAATATTTATGGGAAAACTCAATTCCTGTTAAGTCTTGCGTGCAAGTACGCTTGAACTTTGTAAATACTCAATGCATTTGGTCTTACATGTGTAAACACAAAAATGTGATAGAGATTACCAACCACAGATCAAATTACTGATGTATATTGAGAGATTCTATTTCCGCACATGAACTTGGCAACTTGCAGTTTTCTTACTGTTTCTCATATTACAGATCAAATACAAATAACAAACACGTAAACCAACATTTAAACTTTATTATATTTTTACAATTAATGGAAAATGGCAAAATACCCATTTGAGTTGATCAGTTTGAGTGAGGTGGTTACAATTTATTTGGTTACTCAAAGGAAAATTAGGATACCCAATTGAGATGAACACAAGTGAGTACATAACTCAGTGACCCAAAAAGTTATCTGTAGCTCTGTTTTTATATGTATTTGATTTGGTATCCAAGGGCATTGAATCATGGCAAAGTGCATCATTCCTGTCCACCTACTCAGTCAGAGGTTATTATTTATTAAACAAAAAGTCTGTAAACTTACATGATGAATAATCTGGCCAAGTATTTCATGCTGAGGATTATCATGTACTGATATTCAAAGGATGTGTATGAAACCCAGCTCTGGCAGATGATGTCATTATTTGACTTCATGTTAATGTCTACACTCATACGTAGAATGACCATTAAATGGGCAGTACTTGTTGCATCCTTCTTCTTTTCTCCTCAACTGGAGATGGGGTAGCCTAGTGGTCAAAGTGTTAAATCTTGACACCAAAGACCCGGGTTTGATTCCCCACATGGGTACAATGTGTGAAGCCCATTTCTGATGTCCCCAGCCGTGATATAGTGGGAATATTGCTAAAAGCGGCTTAAAACCTCACTCACTCACTCACTCACTCACGCACTCACTCCTCCCTCCATCATCATCATCATCATCATCTGCATATGCAAATTAAAGAATATAGGTGTTATTAGTGCAAGTATTGCAGAGATGAATAAGTTGTGTTGAAAATGTCTGACAAAAAGTGTTTCCGTCTCTAGCCTGTTGACAACTTTTTATTATGTTTCAGGTCGGGTTGGAACTGCGGTCGCAATACGAGCCAAAGTGTTTGGGTTTAATGTTATTTTCTATGACCCCTACCTCGCAGATGGTATAGAAAAATCCCTGGGTAAGAAACCTAAAAAGGAAACACATAACATTAACTTGAATATGAGGTAGCATAGTGGTGAAGGTGTTTGCTTGTCACAGACAGGGTTTGATTGTCTGCATGGCTGGTATGTGACACTATATGTATTTTAGGACGCTTTTAAGTGACAGTGTAATATGTATTGCCTAGACCTGCCCCCACTGGTTGTTGGGCCAGCCAAATTCATTCACTGTCATTTTCACAGAGAAGAAAAACTGAAAAATTCAAGAAATGAAACAAATGTTCTTTTTCTGTGAAGTAACAAAGGTCCTTTTATTTTCTTGCAGGCATTACGCGTGTATACACATTGCAGGAACTACTTTTCCAAAGTGACTGCGTATCACTACACTGCAACCTCAATGAACACAACCATCACCTGATAAATGACTATACCATAAAGCAAATGAGGCCTGGTAAGTATGAAGGTATCTAAACCCGTTATTACAACATAAAACTCAGGGATCTAGGCCACTTCAAACTATTCTCTTGTTTCACACAACCATGCTTATAAATGGCCTTTCCTTATAGTTTAGGTATAGTTTTGTAACTCTGCTGTTGTTTTTGTACCAGAGTCCAAACTTTTTTGTCAACGAGTTATATTAGTTTCAGTTTTGGAACCGATTCCATCTTTTTTGCAAACCCATTTAATTCAAAGTGTCGTTTTCTATCTACGGAGCATGGCCTTTGGGGTGACATCTTACACGGCTCTGGTTTACTTAAGATATAATGGGACGGCGGGGTAGCCTAATGGTTAAGGCGTCGGCTCGTCACGCTGAAGATACAGGTTCGATTCCCCACATGGGTACAATGTGTGAAGCCATTTCTGGTGTACCCTGCCGTGATATTGCTGGAATATTGTTACAAGCAGTGTAAAACTAAACTCATTCTACCGCTAAAGATACACCTTTACTAAACATAAAAAATAGAATTTAACTCAAAAAGAAAAGCCCAACCTCCACTCAAATCCAGTTTTAAAAATGGTCACGTAAAACAAGAATATGTTTGAACTGGCCTTAAGGATTATGCCACCACTGGCTAGGATCGACAACTTACTTGTCTTGGGAGAAAAGATCCAAATGTGGCACTGGGCTTTTCATCTTGGACCGATAAGTTGTAACTCAAAGCCAGTAGGGGTGTATCTGTAGAACTACCCATTGTCATTTTTGTTCGGAAATTGTGTCAAAATATCAAGTTTGCTGAACAAGATTGAAAAATAAGACATTTGGTTATCAGGCAACTTGGTGAAATCTGAGCTGTGTTCCGCTTTCTTAGTAAAAGAGTTCTTCAAGATCATGGTTTTAAAAACAAAATGGATTCGGAAATGAATAATTAAATGACTATGTTGTGATGCTTTGCTGAAGTGTTGCCTGAGAACTGTATTAGATTATTTCTCTTATTTAAATTTTGAAATTAAATTTTGATATATTTCTGACACTTTAAACTCAAAATAGTCACAATTGAAATTGAGTGAGTCATTGCACTTTTCTGGCAAAGGATTGATTTCATTAGAATATATTGAAGATGACAATCTGGGTTAAATATTGAATTTTTTCTTCTGCTTTTGTGAAATATGCCGTATAACTAGTCATTGTTGGTTGTATGGCAGCCATATTTTGACCTTCAGTGCCAGAGAATGCTGGCATTGTTGGGAAAGCAATGAAGACACTTCGGAATACCATGATGCCGGAAACAATTGAATGACATAATGTTCCGGAAGAGACAAAACTGCTGGATTCAGAAATACTGAAAAATTATGCTGAGAAGCTGCATGATTATGTAAAATTTACCAAAAATATACATACATCTCCAGTACCAAAATAGATTAAAGGGGCTTGAGCAGATATACCAGAAACCTATGGTCATGGGGTTTGAATCTTGGTTTGTTTGGCTGTTAGTTGGAACAGTGTGTGAAGCCCATTCTGGTGTCCCTTTCCTAGATATTGCAGGGATATTGCCCAAACAGTACAGTCAAATCCCGATGAGTCGAATGCCGGTGTCTCGAATATTATGCATAACTCGAAGTCCCTGTCAGTCCCGACCGTTCCCTGTAATAGTTGTCATCATTTGAATACCGGTTACACGAATTCGTCTCATAAATACACACGATGACTCGAAAAGGAAATTTGGTCCCATGAGATTCAAACAACAGCAATCTTGTATACATAAGCCGAAGTCAGTCAATGAGAAGTTGATTGGTGTAGCAAACTGATCCAATTAACAAACAAGCGCGGCTCACACCTTTCCGCCATTTTACGGAAATCACTGTCTGTGCTAATCAGACTGGAACTGATAAGGTGCCCCTATTAGTGATATGGAAATCATTAGATAAACAAATGCTTAGGCCGAGGAATTAGGACTGGATCATCTTTTTTTCTACCCTGATAGACATACCTATGTCTCGAATACATGGATAAGTCGAATTTATTACTTGGTTCCCAGCGATTCGACTCATCGGGATTTGACTGTATTTATAAAAACCATGCTCACTCACTCTCTCTGAGGCCTTTCCTCCTAGTTTCAGGTGACTCACCATATAAATATAATTCTGTTTAAAGCATATGTATGATGTACCTGATGGGGTATGTAGCAGGTGATATATTTTGTGACTTTGGTATGTTGCAGGTGCATTTCTAATCAACACAGCTCGCGGAGGCCTTGTTGATGAGCACGCTCTAGCCTCGGCCTTGAAGGATGGGAGGATACGTGCATGTGCGCTTGACGTCCACGAAAATGAACCGCTGAATTCCCTAAGTGAGTCAGCAACTATTAGTATATTTAAGTGAAATGTATTGTTCAAATTATTATCCCACCGGCATGTAATGCGGTGGGATATAGTCGTCGCCTCGTCCGTCTGTCCGTCCGTCCGTCCGTAATCATTTTGTTTCCGGACCATAACTCAAAGACCGTTCGATATTTTTTAACCAAAATTGGTAGATATGTCAAACATAACCTAAGGTGGTGCCTTTTGCTATTTACAGATAATTGTCATTTTTATTTTTCTTGTTTTCCATGGAAACGTTTTGGACTTAGTCTTAAAGAAGGGTGGGCTTCGTTTCCGGAGCATAACTCAAGAACCATTCAATATTTTTCAACAAAACTTGGTAGATATATCAAACAGATCCTAAAGTGGTGCCTTTTGCTATTTACAGATTTTTGGCATTTTTATTTTTCCCGGTTTCCATGGAAACAATTCGGACTTAGTCCCAAAAGTGAGGGGTGGGCTTCGTTTCCGGAGCATAACTCAAAGACCGTTCGATATTTTTCAACCAAAATTGGTAGATATGTCAAAATAACCTAAGGTGGTGCCTTTTGCTATTTGCAGATAATTGTCATTTTATTTTTCTCGGTTTCCATAAGGATTGGAAACATTTTGGACTTAGTCTATTTTTTCAAAAAAACTTGTAATATATCAAACAGATTGCTTTTGCTATTTGCAGATTTCCGGTTTCCATGGAAACGATTCGGACTTAATCCCAAAAGTGAGGGTTGGGCTTCGCTTTCCGAGCAACTCAGAACTTCAAGAACCTTGGTAGATTATGAAACAATATTTTTTGCTATTTGCAATTTTGGCAAAAACTTGGTAGATATATCAACAAAACTTGGTAAATATCAAACAGATCCTAATCATGGTTTTAAAAACAAAATGGATTCGAAATGAATAATTAAATGACTATGTTGTGATGCTTTGCTGAAGTGTTGCCTGAGAACTGTATTAGATTATTTCTCTTATTTAAATTTTGAAATTAAATTTTGATGTATTTCTGACACTTTAAACTCAAAATAGTCACAATTGAAATTGAGTAAGTCATTGCACTTTTCTGGCAAAGGATTGATTTCATTAGTTTTGAGAATATATTGAAGATGACAATCTGGGTTAAATATTGAATTTTTTCTTCTGCTTTTGTGAAATATGCCGTATAACTAGTCATTGTTGGTTGTATGGCAGCCATATTTTGACCTTCAGTGCCAGAGAATGCTGGCATTGTTGGGAAAGCAATGAAGACACTTCGGAATACCATGATGCCAGAAACAATTGAATGACATAATGTTCTGAAAGAGACCAAACTGCTGGGTTTCAGAAATACTGAAAAATTCTCCTGAGAAGCTTCATGTTTATCTAAAATTTACCCAAAATATACATACATCTCCAGTACCAAAATAGATTAAAGGGGCTTGAGCAGATATACCAGAAACTTATGGTCATGGGGTTTGAATCTCGGTTTGTTTGGCTGTTAGTTGGAACAGTGTGTGAAGCCCATTCTGGTGTCCCCTTCCTAGATATTGCAGGGATAGATATTGCCCAAACAGTACTTATAAAAACCATGCTCACTCACTCACTCTGAGGCCTTTCCTCCTAGTTTCAGGTGACTCACCATATAAATATAATTCTGTTTAAAGCATGTGTATGATGTACCTGATGAGGTATGTAGCAGGTGATATATTTTGTGACTTTGGTATGTTGCAGGTGCATTTCTAATCAACACAGCTCGCGGAGGCCTTGTTGATGAGCACGCTCTAGCCTCGGCCTTGAAGGATGGGAGGATACGTGCATGTGCGCTTGACGTCCACGAAAATGAACCGCTGAATTCCCTAAGTGAGTCAGCGACTATTGGTATATTAAGTGAAATGTATTGTTCAAATTATTATTTTGGGTTGTTTTTTTGTTTTGTTTTTGTTTTTGTTTTGTTTGTCTTTTTTGTATTAAGGCACTGTGAAAGTGGCATCTAATAAGAAACTACATGCACTGACATCAGTGTTTTACCTTGACCTACAAATGTGGGAATCCAGGGGACCCTGTCAATACAATTTTACGGGTCCTTGTCAATAACATAAGGGTCCTGTATGGTATTGACATGGTGTAGTGTAGTGTACTGTACATTCAGATCAAAAAATATTTTTTTTTTAAATTCAATGTTTTTGTTGTCTGAAAGTCCCTGTTACATGATTGAGGATCATGGGTAAGGGTGACTCTCATTTGAAAGGTATGAATTCTTACTGGTAGACAGTCTGACATTTTCTAAGGAAAAAGGAATCTCATTAACACTCACATTCATACTCATACTGTTGCGAGTTTAAAATAAACTGCCAGCTTTTACTATGTGCCTGCTTTTCACTTGGACCTCTAGCCTAACTGAACATTGGATGATAGTATGCCCACTTTGTGTAAAATTATCCCCGCAAAGCGTTTTGCGGGGGGTATTAAAATGGACTCCGTCCGTGCGTCCGTCAGTCCGTGCACATTTGTCTTTTCCGGAGCATAACTCTAGAACCCTTCAATGTTTCTTTACCAAACTTGGCACATAGATAGATCTGGTGGTGTACTGGTGCCTTTTGGTAGTTTTGGAATTCTGAATAAAATATTTTTGGCGTTTCCATGGCAACAAGTTCGACTTAGACTGAAATTGGTGGTAGTGCTCTTTTCCAGAGCAGAACTCTAAAACGGTTCAATATTTCTTCACCAAACTTGGCACATAGATAGATCTGGTGGTGTACTGGTGCCTTTTGGTACATTGGAATATTGAATAAAATACTTTTGGCATTTCCATGGCAACAAGTTTGACTTAGCCTGAAATTGTGGTAGTGCTCTTTTCCTGAGCAGAACTCTAAAACTGGTCGCTATTTCTTCACCAAACTTGGCACATAGATAGATCTGGTAGTGTACTGGTGCCTTTTGGTAGTTTTTGAATTCTGAATAAAATATTTTTGGCATTTCCATGGCAACAAGTTTGACTTAGCCTGAAATTGTGGTAGTGCTCTTTTCCGGAGCTGAACTCTAAAACGGTTCACTATTTCTTCACCAAACTTGGCACATAGATAGATCTGGTAGTGTACTTGTGCCTTTTGGTAGTTTTGGAATTCTAAATAAAATATTTTTGGGGTTTCCATGGCAACAAGTTTGACTTAGCCTGAAATTGGTGATAGTGCTCCTTTCTGGAGCAGAACTTTAAAAACCTTTCAATACTCTCCTTCCACTTTTCTATATACACACCTAAATATTTGACATAATCATAACTCTTAGACATAATCATGAAGAGTATTTTGCCATTGCGGGGGATATTGATGAATTTGTCTTCTTGTTGATTTTATTTCTGATTGAGAAACTAATTTTTCTCCATAGAACACACTTTCTTAAAACCATCAATGTGTGGTATATACAAAGAATTTAGCCATTGATAGTAAGAGTTCAAAAACAGTATCTGTGACAGTATTAGAGTCACACCCAAATATAACATGAATCAGTGGCCATGACGTGAAATAACGCACAGATCTACTCTCGTTGCTCTGTATGTACGCTCTCGGTATTTTCGTGTCTCCTGGGATAAAGTATTTTGGGGTTTCTGCGTCCATTCTAAACTGATGCGTACTGGATGCACATTTGTGGGTTGTGTAAAACCCTGTGAGCATTTTATGCCCCGCTATATATGGCAGGGGCATATAGGGTTACCCTCAGTGTCCGTCCGTCCGTACGAAACAGGGAATGTATTCTATCCACTTCTCCACCATAACCGCTCTGTGGAATTCAATGAACTTATACATGGGCTTTCTTGGGACTCTAATGGTGTGCATCTCATATTTTGTTTTTTTATTTTATTGTTTTTTGTTGTAAGTTTAGAGACATTTGAACTTAGGTACATTTTGCTGAATTTCTCTATGATGATAGTGTAATAGGGGATGAAGTCTATCCACTTCTCCACAAAAACTGCTCAACAGAATTGATTGAACTTCTACATGTCTTTTGTAGGGACTCTAAAGGTGTGGATTTCATAATTTTTTATGCAATTTCTTAATTTTGTCACTTTTACAGATGTTTGAACTTAGTTGAATCTCGTTCTATTCAGCCAGTGTTCGTTCCATCCAACAGGGGGTGTGCGTTATCCACTTCTCCTCAAAAACTACTTTATGGAATTCATTTAGATTACACATGTGCTTTATAGGGAGTCTAAAGGTGTGCATCTCATATTTTGATTTTGTATTTTATTTATTTTTCCAATTTTAATGCCGTTTGAACTTAGATAAATTTTGTTGAATTTCTCTCTGAATATAGTGTTGTAGGGGGTGAAGTCTATCCACTTCTCCACAAAAGCTGCTCAACAGAATTGATTGAGCTTCTACGTGTGTTTCATTGGAACTCTAAAGGTGTGCATCTCATACCTTGTTCATCCAATTTCTTAATTTTGTCACTTTTACAGATGTGTGAACTTAGTTGAATTTTGTTCTATTCAGTCTGTTCGTTCCATCCAACAGGGGGTGTACGTTATCCACTTCTCCTCAAAAACTACTTTATGGAATTCATTTAGATTACACATGTGCTTTATAGGGACTCTAAAGGTGTGCATCTCATATTTTGATTTTGTATTTTATTTATTTTTCCAATTTTAATGCCGTTTAAACTTGCATAAATTTTGTTGAATTTCTCTCTGAATATAGTGTTGTAGGGGATGAAGTCTATTAACTTCTCCACAAAAGCTGCTCAACAGAATTGGCCTTGTATGTGTCTTTCATTGGGACTTTTCATTGGGACTTTCATTGTTCATCCAATTTCTTAATTTTGTCACTTCTACAGATGTTTGAACTTGAATTGGCTCTATTCATCCAGTTCGTCCCATACAACAGGGGGTGTACTTTATCCACTTCTCCTCAAAAACCACTGCACAAAACTCATTTAGCTTACATATGTCTTTTATAGAGACTCTAAAGGTGTGCATCTCATATTTTGTTTTCGTATTTTATAATTTTTGGTATGTTTAGAGAATTTTGAACTTAGATAAATTTTCCTGAATTTGTCTCTGATGATAGTGAAATAGGGGATTAAGTCTATCCACTTCTCCACAAAAACTGCTCACCAGAATTGATTAAGCTTATCCATGTGTTTCATTGAGACTCGAAAGATGTGCATGTCATAGATGCATAGATGTTTATTGAACTTGTTCGTTAATTTTGTTCAATTATTGATCTTTATATGTCTTATGAATGTCAGCGGGGGCATCCGAGTCCCTGGACACAATTTTTTCTTGTTAAAAGTCAAGTGTATGTCTGTACTGTAGACTGCCATGACCACGTCTTCTTTCATATATTTTTGGGTAGTCTAGTGGTTAAAGCATTCACTCGCCACACCTAAATCATGGGTTCAATTCCCTCATGGGAACCGTGTGTGATGGAGACAAACAAAGGTTTTGTTGTTATTAAATCTGAGGAATTGCTGCATTCATTTCTTTCCCATGCCAGCATGTTAAATCTTACTGAGTTATCTCCCTTTGTTCCCAGGTGGCCCTCTCAAGGACGCCCCCAACCTCATCTGCACCCCCCATGCTTCCTTCTACAGCGAACAAAGTGTGACTGAGCTCAGGGAGATGGCGGCTGGCGAGATCAGGAGAGCTATCCTAGGCCGAATACCTGATAGCTTAAGGAACTGTGTTAACAAGGAGTATTTCACCCCCACACCCAGTGAGTGTTCGCCTCCCTGAACCTGAGTGAGTGAGTGAGTTTAGTTTTACGCCGCACTTAGCAATATTCCAGCTATATGCCGGCGGTCTGTAAATAATCAAGTCTGGACCAGACAATCCAGTGATCAACAGCATGAGCATCGACCCACGCAATGGGGAACCTATGACATGTGTCAACCAAATTAGTGAGCCTGACCACACGATCCCGTTAGTTGCCTCTTACGACAAGCATGAGTTACTGAAGATCAATTCTAACCCAGATCTTCACGAGTAGCCTGATCCTGAAACAAGTATGTAACTAGTGAAATGAAAGTCCCAGTTTGGAGATTCCACTGCATGATATGTACCTGATGTTTGTCGAGTCAATTGAATGAGGATCATATAATTGTGTGAATGAGGATCATCTGATCACGTGTGACCCTGAATGAGGATCACATGACAGTGTGTGACACTGAGGATCACATGACAGTGTGACACTAAATGAGGATCACATGATCATGTGACACTGAAATGAGGATCACATGATCATGTGACACTGAATGAGGATCACATGACAGTGTGTGACACTAAATGAGGATCACATGACATGTGACACTGAATGAGGATCACATGACAGTGTGTGACATAAAATGAGGATCACATGATCATGTGTGACACTGAATGAGGATCACATGATCATGTGTGATGCTGAATGAGGATCACATGATCGTGTGACACTGATTCAAGGTCACATGGTCAGTGATGTATTCATACTTAATGGACTGATCAAGCCATCAACCACTGGTTTTCTTTGCCAAATGATTTGTGAAGTATTTGTGCAGCCTTGAGAAGCAAAATATTGAGGAAAGAAAAACTGTCAAGAAAAGTGAAATTCATAGCTTTGCACCTTTTTCATTAATTGGCGGAAGGTTACGGGTTTGATCCCCCGACCGCATCATACCAAAACACCTCACCTCACCTCACCTCACCTCACCTCATTAATTGACATCATGATCTACTATTGATCAATCTGATAATTGAGCCTTACCAACCAAGTCAGGGCGGTGTGGAAGCCTAGTGGTTAAAGCATTCCCTTGTCACGCCCTAGGACCCGGTTCGATACCCCAATGTGTCACTCACTCACTCGCCAGCCGAGTTTGTTACTTCTTACAACATTTTCAGTAAACCCTGTACTAAAGTTATTTTGCTTGCTTCCAGATCCTGGTAGTGTGCGCTACCCCTTCCCGCCAACTGGTTACCCCGACAGTATGAACGGTGCTGGCTACCCTGCATTTAACCCTGCCGCCGCCGCAGCAGCAGCCATGGGTGTCCACTCGACAACCGACACCCACTCCGTCGTCCCACTAAGTACCGCCCACACGACCGCTCACAGCACTCTTGCTGAAGCTGGCAATCACATGGCCAAAGCAGAAAGCTCTGAGGTCGTCCATTAACCCTATTTTTACAAACCGTGCTGTAAAACTAAACAAAAGTGCTTGACCGCACCGGAAAGGGTTCATTTGTGGAACAACCGAGCTGGATTTTCAGAAGTTGAGCTCAAAAGGAAATAGATTATGCTGTTACTTTATTCTTGGATCAGGCCCTGACGAACAAGGGCATTTGAGATGAGAGAAGCAGCTGAGATCATTACTGCATCTTGAGAGTGCTGATGAAACAGGGACTGAAATTGAACAATTCAGAGGAACGAAGAATGGTAGCCAATGTGTTACCATAGCAACAGACGCAATCTCAGCCAAGTGCAAAACCAGACTCCAAGACTTGCTGAGAGCAATTGTCTTTTCTACCCAAAACTTTAGAATGTAGAGATTTGTGTCTGTTTAAACAAAGGGCAATTTGACAACTTAACTGATTTTAAAATCTAATTGATAAAATCATGTAGGATTTGTGTGTAGTCGCTTCACAGGTTTGGAAATGACCTGTCTAGAAGACCCGAGTGTGAAGCTTCGTATTGTCACAAATCACGTCCGAAAAATTGTGTTGAGTGTATTGAACATTGAACCTTTTCATGATTATGGCCTCTAAGGTTTCAAGGCGGTTGGCTTCCGGTAGGTGTCATTTCATGTGCAGAGCAGCCTGGGTCAGAGATTATACATAAGTAATATCTACAACAAGCACCTTTCTTCGAGAAGGGGTCATTTTGTATTTTAAGATATTACAGTGAGGTGTAGCATGATCACTACTTACTTATGTATCTTGTCTGCGTGAGGTGGACGCCAAGATGGAGGGTAGGTGTTCAGGATTTCATTGTCATGAAGTTTTACTCGCATTTTGTCAAAGAAAGTTTTTAAGCCAAAGATAGCAACTTTGCACTTCTGTATGTTCACCCAGATTTCAACGTACCTGAACGTGTGTAGCGTCGATGCAGGTGTAGTCGTAACTTTGCATATATCAAAGGTCATTTCCTCTTTGTGGAGGTCGGATCAAAGATGGTTTCAGATGAACGTCTGCAAATGAACTTGTTCACTTGAATACAATTATTTTTTGATATATGGTCATTGCCAAGCTTTCTTACAGATTTGAAACAGAGGAAGGCAGTATTTTTGACAGACGGATTTCATGTATTGCATTTCTTCACATCATAACAGGAGAGATTTTAGCATCGGTGAGAAAGAAACATTATTACTGCATTTTGTAATGTACTTTCATTAATCAATCATAATTACGTTCATCCATTAGCACTGGCAATTTCCCACATGGCTTTTAATCCAAAAGGCTTTCTGACAATCAGCATTGACTGCTTTGTGGCAACACTTCCCACTCGAAGGACCTTCATTCGCTCGATGTACTTAGATCATTCTGCTCTAAGAGATGTGATTAGGTTTGTGTCAGGATGTGTTGCCGTTTGATGGAGTTTGGGAGAACAACGTGGAAACGCTCAGGCAATGGTGCATCCGTATTCATCCTCATTCTTATTGACCAATTACTTTGTGTGCAGTTCTACTGGACGTCTACGTGGATAGACACTGTTTTTCTCTCTCGTCATCTGTAATACAACCGACGTGCATGTTTCTTTTATACAACTTTCAAAACAGCATCTGCAGTCGGTGCTTGATATGTTTTGTTGAAATTGAAATGTTTGATAATGTTTTGTAAGTATTCATGGAAGGTGAGGACTATGCATAGAGGGCGCTGTTCCTAGCAGCCATCCCTCGTAGCGGCTGTTTGTGCTTGTCTTACTTTAAGCTTGGGACACATTTTCTTGAAGAATTAATTCCATTGGCATATTTTTAGTTCATTGTAGTCTTTTTGGAAACCCAAACATTTAACCGTTTACATTTTTCCGATCAACACGTGCTTGTGTCCCTGCATTTTGTCTACTTGAGAAAAATTAAAATTTAAGTACAAGAATTTTTTTACAAAGTGTTATTATTTTTTTATTGCAATTAATAAATTTTGAAACGCGTCAAAATGGGGGAAATATTTTTTGAAATTTGTATGCATTTTGTTGGTAGAATTTGGTTAGTCCAGTTACTACCAGCAAATGCAAATAACTGAGGAAAATAAAGCTGTGTGTTTTTTTCTCGAGAGTTTGTTGTCCCATGGCAGTATAATGCTTCATTGCATTGTCTACGATTCATTAAGCTTATAGACCTATCTCAGTAGCTGTAGACTAGAAACAAATGTAGATAAAATTCGGAAAATGCCAGTATATCTGATCTGATCTTCCAATATAATTTTATGAATAAAGACAATAAAATTTTCTACAAATTGGTCTATTTCTTTGTTGATCTCTGAGTGACTAGGAAGGATGTCATCGTCTATCAAGAAATATCACTCACGAATTAAAGTAACTGTGAGCAGTGTGTTGAGGATGAGTCACCAGCATGGTATTCAGGAGTTTGTAATTTAAGGCAGTGTGTTTCGATTGGAATTACTGTTCAAATATTTCTGATATGACAGAAATACTGTTAATACAGCTCTAATAATAATTATTATTCTTTATGTCTTTGGATTTTCTGTCCCTTTTGACAGCAACGTGATTGGCAAGATTCAGGAAAAGCATGCTAAATATGTGGACCTCGCCGCTTTGAAATGTCTCACTTGCATCCCAAGTACACTGTCCTGACGTCAGGCTCCCCTTGTTCTTGGTGTCAAGATATGGCTGAAATATTGCCAAATTTTAAGTCACTAACTTGGTGCCCTTGGTTTGGTACCTCCTGATCTCTTGGCTGAACAAGCAGCGCACATACACATACACATGCATGCGCGTCGTCATATGAGCGAAATATTCCAATTTCACCACCTCACCTGTGAAGGTCTGGGTTAGAATGAACCTTCAGTAACCCATGCTTGCTGACTTGGTTGACACATATCATCGGTTCCCAATTGCGCAGATCGATGCTCATGCTGTTAATCACTGGTTTGTCTGGTCCAGACTGGATTATTTACACACCGCCACCATATAGCTGGAATATTGCTGAGTGTGGCATAAAACTAAACTCACTCACTTCTGATCCAGCTACCCGTGAAGATCTGGCTTAGAATTGGTCTTCAGCAACCCATGCTTGTCTCCCCTGAGAAGAGCCGGCTTAGAATTGATTTTCAGGAACCAATGCTAGTCAAAAGAGGCGACTAAGGGGATTAGATGGTCCGACTCACTGAACTGACTGATACATGTCATCGTATCCCAAATGTGTAGATCGATGCTCATGCTGTTGATCACTGGTTTGTCTGGTCCAGATTCGATTATTTACAGACCACCGCTATGTAGTTGGGACATGCCTGTGTGTGGCGTGAAACAACAAACTAACCCAATCCAGCAGTTACCAGATCTTCATGTTGAGCTGAGGCGGTGGGATAGCCTAGTGGTAAAAGCGTTGGCTCGTCACGCCGAAGACCCGGGTTTGAATCCCCACATGGGTACAATATGTGAAGCCCATTTCTGGTGTCCCCTGCTGGGGACATTGCTGGAATATTGCTAAAAGCGGCGTAAAACCTAACTCAGTCAGTCAGTCATTTTGAGCCAACCAATGACATAACTCTAAGAGAGAAAAGTTAGTGATGAGACTGAGATGCTGAAGTTACTTTAGAAGTATGGCAACTGGATGAATCAATGGTATTTATTATTATAGAAAAAGAGATAAAACACCCTTGATAACAGAGGATGGGTCACACTGTGACCTGTTGTTTAAATGTCTATGATACATATTCAACTCCAAGCTGTCTCTCGATCGAGGCATGAATCATCAGCTCTTGACAGCGCTGCCTGGGCCCCGTTCCTCAAAGCAATCGTAGCGCTACGACAGTCGTAAGTCTATGTTAAAGTATGGGAGTTACGATCACCTTAACGCTACGATTGCTTTGAGGAACGGGGCCCTGGACCTGTGGCTACCTGTCCACCACACTTCCAAGTGTGTGATGCTGTTTTCATACTTGGACTGATGAATCGCTCTTTACGATGTTTTATTACAGTGAAATATATATACAGATTAAAAATAATCTCTCATTGCACAAATACTGAAGCATCTGATACCCATAAACATTATTCCAAATGTTGTACTTCACTCAGCAATAATATTACTTTAAAAGGTATATATGTATCTTCTGAAAGATTTATTATTTTTTCTATTTCCTGTTCCAAATGCAGCTGACAAGTTGAAATGTGATATCTTGAATTATCACTCACCTGTGGAAGATACTGCAGTGTAATATTTTTACAACAATATTACACTAGTGTAATACCGCTAAGACGTATGATGTTCACAGTTATGACGTCACAATGATATTAGAACTTGTTTGACTCGTCGAAAGCGGAGTCATCACACTGTAGGCAGTTTCTATCAATTTATGTTAGAGAGTAATAAACAGAATAGTAAACTCACTTCCGTAAAATACCATTTTTATTAAACTTGTGAAAGATTAAGTACACCAAATCAAGTCATTTAATAAAAATAGTTTTCCACAGGAGGTCGTTTCGTATTGTCTGTGTATAGTTTCGTTACCCATCACTAAAACTGAGTGAAAATGGATTTTATGCTCATCCTCGATGATGCAGGGTAACATCTCTATAACTACCCTGGATCCTGATGTTACCATGGCTTCTTTTTAAGCTCCACTTAGATAACAAGAGCAACAACTCCAAACAGTGAATGAGTATGATTTTACGCCGCTTTTAGCAATATTCCAGCAATATCGTGATGGGGACACCAGAAATGGGCTTCACACATTGTACCCATGTGGAGAATTGAACTGGGGTCTTCAGCATGACGAGCGAACACTTTAACCACTAGGCTACCCCACAGCCCCTGCAATAACTCAAAACAAGTGAAGACAGTGACGAGAGATTGAGATGTTGTCACTTCAGAAGCCTTGATCCAGGGTATTTATAATTATTAAATGAGGGTATAATTTTATACCTTGATAATGTATCATGGAGTTTCATAAATCTTCCTTTTTATTAAAAAGATCTCAGTGATAGTTCTGCCTCTCTGTCGAGGCTGAATCATCAGCTCTGGACGGCGCTGTCAGAACTGGTGGCTACCTTTTCGCCACAGCTCTGAGAGTGCGGAGTCTGTCATTGGTTCTGTACTATCAGGTTTCACATCCGGCTTGGTCTCAGATTTATCCTCTGATACAGTTTCATCAGGTTTGGTTCCACGTGATTTGATCGTCTCTGAGTCGTCCTCTGTGATGACTTCAGCATCCCCAGCTGCTACGGTGTCATCCTTCTTCTCTGTGGTTCCGCTATCAGTACAGTCCGTAGAATCGGACGAATCCCTGTTACCATCTTGATTCTTGCCCTACAAATGAGCACACAATGAACTTGGATAAAGAGTGAGTGAGTGAGTTCAGTTTTACGCTGCATTCAGCAATATTCCAGCTATATGGCGACGGTCTGGAAATAATCAAGTCTGGACCAAACAATCCAGTGATCAACAGGATGAGCATCAATGACGTGTCAACCAAGTCACCTTGACCTCATTAACATGCATCATTGCAAGGATAATGTTACCCGCTCACCTCTGTCTCCTTCTTGAGATCACCATATATTTTGAACATTTTCCACCGCGGCACCTCCTCGTCTTTGATGTCAAACTTGTGGAAGTGCAACGTCCCAAGCCACTTCAACATACTGAAGAGTCAAGGTCAACAAAGTGCAAATGAACTTATAAAGTTTTTACCAAATAGTAAATATGTCTTGGGTGGAAACTTGGGCTTAGGTTTTTGTGGAGGTCAATATCAAAACAAAGTGCAAATGGACCTGTAAAGTTTGTAATAAAATAGACCAGCAAGATTGGAATAGATGAACACCAAAAATGTGCTTAAAAATTAAACAGACAAAAGTTCAAGGTCAAACAAGGATTATCCAGTGATTAAAAATGGGGTATGTCCATACTGATTCATTAACTCTATACAGGAGGTGAGAGAGAGAGTTAGCAGACAGCCATACTACCAGGTAAGGACCTACGGTAGGACCTCAACAGATGTCGTTAGTATCCCTGCATCGAAGCTCCACCCAGCCATTGTGGTCCCAGTAAGAATACTTCAAGGGTTTAAACACAGCATGTTCCACCATAGTGTGTAGTGGTGATGTGGATGTATTTAGATGAGGATGCAGGCAAGTTATGGATACCAACAAACCTAGTGAGAACCCTACCACAGTCTGACATGACAGCTATACATAGGGCAGGAAGTTTGGTTTGGGTACACACTATCACGAGAAACATCACCATCTGAATGTTCCGTTGACCTAGCACTCCCTAGAACAAGGCTGTTACTTAATTTGTTGGTTAAATATACTACAACCGCTAACCACACTGAATGATGGCAGTATGTCCTCATGAATGATGGGGATGTAATCACAATGAACAGCCTTGACCTTGCAGTCTGGAGTTTAGGCAGACATGGTGAAGTTCAACCAAAGTTCTAAAGGATACACACTTTCTTCTTTCTCAGACTGGACGATGTGGGAAAGAATATGCTCTTTCTTGAATTTTTCCAGCACTTCCTGTGGAAGAAAAATAGATGAGTCTAATCAAGACACATCTCTGAAAGCTTATCTCTCTCTCTCATTAACACAACACTCTCAGCACTTTCAAAGCCTAACTGTACCCATAAACTACTGGTACAAACACATGTGTTACATTCATGCTAGACTTCCTGGGACAATATTTTTTACAACCTAAGGCCAGACCAATTTTATTTCTTGTTTTATGGATTTTTGTCCTCAGAAAACCTAAAGGCAGGAGGGAAATATAAAAATAAAAAAATTCACCAGTCCTTGTAAATATTAAAAGTATTTTACTTTTGGCAAATTATGAAGTGTATATGGGGCAAAAAACAATCTAAAAATATTTCTTGTAAGTTTACATTTTGGGGCCATTAAGAACATTAGGATTCTACTTTTGAGCAGGGAAAATTCATTTTTCTTTTTTTCTTATTCTTGAAAAAATATGACCGGCGGATCTATAAAACAAGAATTATAATTGGTCTGGCCTAAACACAATATTTCATGTCAAATTAGTTATTTCTTTGGTAAGTTTCTAGGACGATTATATGAGCCTTGTAACCTTGTCCAACAAGTCCAAACATACTTACTTACAGCTTTTGAGATACAGCTTGCACACTTGAGAAAGGGGCTGCACACTTTTTTCATGAGAGTTTCAATGGTCATTGAGTAAACTTTCAGGACAAAGGGGTGGGGAACTGGGGTATGCACACCCCTGCACCCTACCTTGGGATCCCCTATGCTTCTCACAAAAAACAGCATACAAGGTACAACTTATTCCCACTGCACTTTAGCTTGTGATATCAGTCATGCAGTCAAGCACCATTACTTCTACATTGTAATTGTTTTTAATTCTGGAAGTTGAAGATTGCTGTGTTTCCATATTGGTGAAAATTTCATTCACTAAAGATTGCCATGGGCCTTCGATGATAAGATCTCGTTTGACCCAAATTATTTTCATATATTTATCAAACATTTCCACGTTCACCATTTTCAGTCCACCATTTTCAGTGATTCGTTTATAACCATTGTTCTCTTTATTTTATCCCTTTTACCAGGCCATACAAATTGATAGAACAGAGAGGTTAGTCTTTCGAAGGATTCTCCATGTTCTATGTCCGGACTTGGAAGAGAACTGAAGAGATGTGTGAATAGTGGTAATATTTGTGATTTAAGAATAGTGATTTTGCCTCTAAGAGTGAGACATCTATTTGCCCATGAGAAAATAGCTTTTCTTGCTTTTTCAAATTGTATAGTAAAGTTCATAGCAGTCATCGCAGTTAGATTTGTATAAAAAATAATACCCAAGATCTTGAAAGGTTCTTTCGACCACTGCATAGGGATATGTGGGCAGAGTTGTTCATTGCTATGTTTTTTTATCCTATCCATATTGCTCTAGTTTTATCACAATTTATTTTTTATCCTGAGCATACAGCAAATTTTTTCAGTACAGCTACTAGTTCAGCAAGACTAGTCTCTGTTCCATCCAGAGTAAAATTTGCATTCGTCCGCATACTGGAATATTGTATACATTACACCATTTATGTCAATACCTTTTATGTTTTAATTTTTTTTAATGGTGTCACATGTTTGTTATTTAATTAGGATTAATTAAGTAGGAATTAATTAGGAAGTACTCACTGTCACGACTAAACACTACTGATAATGGATTATAGTTTCAAAACATACAGAGAATCCAATGATGGTTTTGTGTAATCACGTGACTAGCATGTGATTGTTGAGTTGTTTCTAAATTGCGGACATACATGAAATCTACTTTTTGTTTTATAGAACAAGTATATATGGATGACAACTTCTTTTATTGTATATATCATTTTTTTTCATCCATATATACTTGTTCTATCTCTTCTTTGCGTGGCATTATAGAAGTTGGGAAGTACAATATAGAACAAACTTTATAGATAACAATAAAGTTTTGTTCTATCTCACTTCCAACTTCTAAAATGCCACTCAAAGAAGTACTTTTTGTTTTGTTTTCTTTCATAGTGACATGTGATATGTCCTGGTCGGATGTCTCAAAGGTCAGACAGCTCGATATTATTTTTTGGTCCCATGAATATCAAGATAATGGTGCTCGACTGTATTGTAGTGTTGGGAATCTAATAATTGATGATTGGTCCATTACAACCGATCAATCATCGAAAATAATTGGTTAGTGTCATTTATTAAATGTCCCTGTTATTTTTGTTAATGCACACAAAAAATAAAGAAAAAACATGTAGTAATTTGGTTTTTTGCAAATTGCTTAAAGTCCATTTGCAAATTTTGCATATTTAAATGATGATTAGTATGTTAGGAACACATATTTCCTGGATTCTTTAAGATAAATTCAATCATGACTTGGAACGAGCTTGTAGTGCTAATGAAATGTAAATTTAATGACACAGACAAAACAAGCCTTGTGAAAAATATTGTTAATGCACTGACTGACTGACTGAGTTTGGTTTTACGCCTCTTTTAGCAATATTCCAGCAACATCATGGCGGGGGACACCAGAAATGGGCTTCACATATTGTACCCATGTGGGGATTCGAACCCGGGTCTTCGGCGTGACGAGCCAATGCTTTAACCACTAGGCTACCCCACAGCCCTATTGTTAATGCAAACAAGTGTTCCAAGATTGGTCGTGTTCGATTACGAGAAAACATGTTCGATTGCTTGGTCGCTTAGTCACTGCGACCAATCTTCGATTATTTCAATTAATCGGACCACCACTACTGTATTGGCATGTTAGCTGAGAGTGGGAGGAGATCCTGAACACAAGGTGTAGATAGGTGAAACTCTGGAGTATAGGCAGGGTGCTAACAAACTGGTATGACTATGTGACACAACTCTGAACAGTTAATGTCCCCATTGAGCTCTGTTTAAATTGTCTTGTTGACTGTAGAGAAAATGTCATAGTCAAAGCAAGACTGGCATTTCAACCATGCACAGCTGATCCTGGAATGATCAGGGGAGGTAACTCTGCAAAACTTCTTCATTCTACTAAAAGCCCTCTGGTGTCACTGTACCTCGTATTCCGACCAGTCCAAAGCTTCATGCATTCCATCTTTACCGAACCTCTTGTTGTAGCCGTCGTAATGGAGCTGTTACAGAAATGATAAAATTATGTTTGAATTTGCAGACATGGAAGATTTGCTCATATCTCAAACTGCCAAAAGAGGCAAGCTGAAATGGACTTTAATTCCATGTTCAATATATTTTCAGGTAAATAGCAACTTGCATGTAATGTGTGTGTGAGGATGACTCTACAAGCCAGGACTCAGCTGGTTTTCTTGTGCCAGTGGATTCGAACCCACAATCAAAGGTTTCTGGCCTAGATTTGTAGATGATGAGGCACCACTACAACATGGATGTGGTGCCAAACAGCCCAAGGAGTTTCTACATTGCACATAGTTTATTTGTTTACAGACTGCCTTGTTTGAAAATCCTTGTCAATAAAAATATATAGCATTTCTGATTTGTTTTTATCCTCCTTGGTTTTCACAGTCAATAGACCTTTAAGGGTTTTAAGTACAATGGACGTGTGTACATGCACATACCTGCTCCAGCATCAGACCAACTCCTGGGGCCTTGGGGACATCTACCTACAAGTAGCACCACATTAACGTCGAACCTGCTACAGTGCTGCATTCAGCTGAATTAACTGGGCTTTCCCAAGATTTATTATCAATCCCAAGATTTGTTTAATTGCTGTTATTTGCTGAACAATATACCAACCAAACCACAGAGGTCTCTATATCGATGATTCTGAGCCAGACAACCTGTGGTTGATATATCAGGCATCAGTCATGCCATCAGAGCTTATTCTGACCAAGAATCCACAAGGACACAGCTGTATGAAACCAGTGAAGATCCAGGTTAGAACTGGTCTTCAGCAATCCATGTTTGTCAGAAGATGTGACTAGCATGACCAGTTTGTCAGGCTTGCTGACTTGGTTGACACGTGTCATTGTATCCCAGTTGTATAGATCGATGCTCATGATGTTGATCACTGGATTGTCTGGTCCAGACTAAATACTTTACAGGTGGGTGTGACATTGCTAGAATACTGCTGAATGCAGCGTTAAACAACAAAACAAACTCAGCTATATGAGATAAGGGACCATTCATAAGTTACGGGGGGTCATTGATGATGATTTTATGGAGTACCATGTACAATGTGAAGGCACACACACGCGCACACACACACACATCTATCTCTCTCTTTTTTTCTTTCTCTCTGTCTCTCTCTCTGTGGTTTGTCCAGTAATATGAGAGAACGTGAGCATGTATCTTGGTTACAGGTTACAGGAACGTTTGATGCTGTCTATGGGTGAAATACTACCTGCTATCCGTGATGCAAATATGATGACCCACCTTGTCCGGCTGCCACGCCTTGTCCATCACCTCCTCACCACAGTAGCCCTTCACTATGGCTATCATCAGTCCTGTAATGAGTGAGTGAGTGAGATGGGTTTCATGCTGGTTTGAAACAGCACATCAGTCATATCACGGATGTCATTTAAACATTCAAGGAAAGCCTGACATTATGCAGCTGGCAGTCAATTAATGAGCATTGTGAGCATTGGTATCCTGCTGTCAAATCTAGAATCATCAAAAAGGGCAAATATGTGATTCAAAGCCGTGATAACAGGATCCTGGTAGATGTAAGGGAGGCAAGGCATTTTTACTGAGTGGTTGGGACAAGAAGGAACTAAACAGTTTTTCAACTGTCTTCATTAATAACATTATAAATGTTGCACTATAACACCATCCAAGTAACAAAGTGATGTGACCACAGTCCACTTCAGTGGATCTGATCAGTCTACTCCAGTAAATCTGATAACAGACTGCCTCAATCACAGTATCTGATCTGAGTCTACTCCAGTAAATGTGATAACAGACTGCCTCAGTAAATGTGATCACAGTACACTCCAATGGATCTGATCAGTCTACTCCAGTAAATGTGATAACAGACTGCCTCAGTAAATGTGATCACAGTACACTCCAATGGATCTGATCAGTCTACTCCAGTAAATGTGATAACAGACTGCCTCAGTAAATGTGATCACAGTACACTCCAATGGATCTGATCAGTCTACTCCAGTAAATGTGATAACAGACTGCCTCAGTAAATGTGATCATGATCAGTCTACTCCAGTAAATGTGATAACAGACTGCCTCAGTACATATGATCACAGTCCACTCCAGTGGATCTGATCAGCCTACTCCAGTGAATGTGATAACAGACTGCCTCAGTAAATGTGATCACAGTCCACTTCAGTGGATCTGATCAGCCTACTCCAGTAAATGGGATAACAGACTGCCTCAGTAAATATGATCACAGTCCACTCCAGTGGATCTGATCAGTCTACTCCAGTAAATGTGATAACAGACTGCCTCAGTAAATGTGATCACAGTACACTCCAATGGATCTGATCAGTCTACTCCAGTAAATGTGATAACAGACTGCCTCAGTAAATGTGATCACAGTCCACTTCAGTGGATCTGATCAGCCTACTCCAGTAAATGGGATAACAGACTGCCTCAGTAAATATGATCACAGTCCACTCCAGTGGATCTGATCAGCCTACTCCAGTAAATGGGATAACAGACTGCCTCAGTAAATATGATCACAGTACACTCTAGTGGATCTGATCAGCCTACTCCAGTGAATGTGATCACAGTCCACTCCAGTGGATCTGATCAGCCTACTCCAGTGAATGTGATAACGGTCTAGTTCTATGTGATCACACTTGTGGATGCAATCACTATATATTTCGGCGGATGTGATCCTGGTCTCCTCACCGATCATCTTCCGTATATGATGAAGCATGAAGCTTTGCCCTTTGACCCTCAAGATAACAAACTCGATGCCCTCCGTTACAAAAGGCTGGCCACACTGGAAGGAGAGAGAAGAATACTGGTCATGGTGAGACTGCATGCTAAATACTTCTTATCTGTAAGGTAGTGAATATGGCTTTTAATCATGAATTCATGCAAGATTCACATACATATAATGTACCTGCATAAACTTTGATTCAGTTTGTTCGTTTCATATGGAACTGGCTCCTACAAATACAGAAACACATTTACATAACACTGGGAGCCATACTTCTCAGTTAACAGTGGACACAGTGAGCAATATTCCAGCTATATGGTGGTGAGTTTAAGTGAACACTTCACCCCTTACCCCTCATGTAAGTACTGTAAGAAATGATACTATTACCTCAAAACTAATGATATATCTCTTGGCGCTAGGATCATTTGGTTTTCTGCAAAAAATATAATGTAAAAAAGTGTATGACATGGGATGCCTGGCTTGAAGACTTGATATTATATCTTACAACACACCTACACTAAATATTCCTCTAGTGGAAAAATGTATATAAACGTATATACAAAACTGCTATGTAACATCAAAACATTATCTACATTTATTCTTCATGGCTGCTTGACATAATTGATAAGATAATGTCTTCAAATTATCTAAGCTCTTGTATAGTTTTGTTGAAAGGTTTTAGTTTGGCTTTTTGTTAAATTGTTTGTTGTTTCAAAGCTACTCAGAAATATTCCAGCTATAAGGCAGTAGTCAGTAAAATATCATGTCTGTGTCAGACAATCCAGTGATTGATGTCGTCATCTGACGACCAGCCTGAGTTGCTGGGAACTGATAATCTAGCCCCAATCCCCATAAGTTCCTAATAATCTTGCAATTGCTGAGAATTGCTGGTACAGACTGATACGTTGGCAGATTCGTACTTACATGCCAGAGGTAAAGTTGTGGAAGTTGTGAGTTCCCTTGTACATCGTAAGAATTCTGTTGACCTCTTTGATAATATCATCTGAAACGCATGTTAGTCAGTGAATCAACCAATTTCTTCTGTATAAAAAAGTAGACTTTAGTTTCAACAATATGTTGGTTTTGCATCTGCTTATCATCCAAAACTTATTGATAATCTCTTGGCGCTAGGATTGTAAGGTTTTCTGGAACAAATTTCAAAAAGAATTAATCTATGAAATACCACAACGCTTCATATATTTGCCTTGCAATGAACCTATACACAAAATTTCCACAGAACATATCACTTGGGTGAGATCAGTGATATCTCCAAAACAAAGCTAGAGTGAGTGAGTGTGTGTGGTTTTACGCTGCATTTAGCTATATTCCAGCAATATCACAGTGGGGACACCAAAAATGACAATGAGTGAGTGAGTGAGTGAGTGAGTGAGTGAGTGAGTGAGTGAGTGAGTGAGTGAGTGACTGAGCCTACTGCAATGCCATTGGTGACCTGGCGTTACTATCAAATGACATCACTAATCTCCTTATCACTGAAGCTGGTAAGCTGTACCTTTTACACTCATGCCACAGTTATTACTGTTGAAAATTGAAAACAATTGGAAAATAATTTTTGGATGATAAATACAATATAACATTTGCCACTAAAAGTTCAAAACTATTTTACTGATGTGTTCCGGTAAGGCTCTTAATAAGATTTAATAAATAAAATAATGAATTAGATTTACCAGCTGGAGTTGCGCCCCCTTGCCCACTTGGGGCGCTGCTGTAGTTACGGGCCAACAATCGCGTGTTTAAACACTCAAGGGAATATATCGGACTCGCTCGAACTTCAGTAAAACAATAACCTGCTTATTTTTCCGGAATTAGAAGAATGAATTACGGAAGCTGGAAGTTGCCAGATTTGAAGGCACGGGGTGCAAGAGTGTCCGGACGAAAAATCGACCTAATTGAACTGTAAATTTCTAACATTGCCGTTTCTTGGTAAACTTATCAAAGTAAATTATAATTTGTCCCCAATTACATTACATTACCCATTGTGATCCTGATATAATGGTCATTGATAGAACAAACATAGGTTTAGTTTCCTACTGTTTAGACAACGAGCATTCAACATATGACGCTGTCATTGACACGAAAATACTAATTTTATTAAAATCTAAATATTTTAGATATTTAAATACTTACCTTACCATAGGTCTTATGCATATTACCTCAAGCTCCGCTTAAAGAGATCAGACAGTCGTTGATTCGCCATTCTGTAGAACGGCCACCTCGTGTATCGACGAGTGTACAGGCAACGGAAGTGACGTGATCTCCCCTCCCACGCAAGCGCGGTCCATCCAAAATCACTTTTACTGACCAGGTCCGAAGATCCCAGAGAGGGGAGGAGCATCCAGCGTTGGGAGGGAGTTACCCTATGGTAAGGTAAGTATTTAAATATCTAAAATATTTAGAATTTTAATAATTTTTTAACTTACCTTACCATAGGTCTTATGCATATGGATTCGACAGTAGGACGGGCGGTGTCGGGCTCCAGAGGACCGTCCCACCTAAAACCCACATGCCAAGGGAAAACCAGAAGAAACTACTGAATCGCCAGACTGTGGCAGAGGCTTCGGAACAGGAGACAGATAGTAACTAAAGGCAACCCTAAGGAAAACAAATACACCCAGAGTGTAAGTTAACCTGAAGACCAGAAGGTAAGAAGAAGTAGTTACCTAATTGGGCGGTAGGATGGGTGAGTTGCTGAGTAAACCACCAGTGGACCAAGCGATTGAAGACCTTCCACGCCCGACGTACAAATCCCATGAGGTAATGACTAGCGAAGACAGTAGAGGACTTCCAAAACAACCCTCCATGATGGCTGGAGCGGTGCAGTTTCTGTGGAGAGCCATGGTGGATGCCAGAGCCCTAATCTCATACCGGATTAGTGGCTGTAGGATGAGGCAGATCTTGGCGCATCGTAGGCGGTCAGGATGGTAGTCACGGAGCCAGAGCGCATGGCGTATTCTACTATTAACTTCACCTTTGGCCACAGAAGACAAGCAGGATGAACAGTCTCTTTACGAGACTGCCTCCTGGAAGATGACTTGGCAATATATAATCTTAAAGTGCCCTCACGGGACAAAGCAGCTGTTCCTCAGCGTCATGAGGTCCTAGAATGGAAGACAAAGGAGGGATGGAGAAGACCCTATCCGGTTGTCCCGGCAGCTGGTTCTTGGCCACGAAATCCCAAAGCAGTCGAGATGAACAAGACCATGCCGTGACTGCTCAAAAGCGCACCCTGGTGACATCCAATGCGTGGATCTCACTAACCCTAGCTTCTGTGGCCAGGGGCCAAGAGAAAGGCTGTCTTCCTGGAGAGGTTCTCAAAAGAAGCCGTGTCCAAGGGCTCATAAGGGGGACCTCTCAGATGACTTAAGAAACCACGTTTAGGTCCCAAGCGGGAGGACGAGCTTTGCCTTCTGGTCCTCCAGCTTAAACGCTTTGAGGACGCGGTATGGCGAGTTCTGGCACCTTAAAATCTTTTGTCGCGACTTGACCGCCAGAACGGAGTTAAGAGCCGAGCAATAAGTTCCTATAGTGTTGCCCTTGAGGCGCCCGGGGACTTCGAAAGAAAGAGAAACTCTGCTATAAACTGAGGAGAAGCCTTCAACGGGTCCTTGGACTTCTGTGCACAAAACTTCTCAAAAGAAACCCACTTATCATCATAGAAGTGATCTTGTGGAGACTTCGATGAGCACGAGCAACAACCTTGGCGACACCTCGTGGAGAAGCCCTTGGCCTTCAGCGCCTTTTGCAGATGATCCAACGCACAGATGAAACCGAGTGGGATCGGGATGCCACTGTCGACTGTGGGGATGCCTGAGCAGGTGAGGCCAGTCTGGTAACTGTTGCGGACTTCTTCGGCGAGCGGCGCAGAATCTGGGAACCAGGTTCTGGCTGGCCACCAAGGCGACCAAAAGCAGGCGAATCGTCTCTGTCAGCTTGACCTTTGCTATTACGCTGGCAACAGAACTGGTGGTGGAAAGCGTACATGTCCAGACCCTCCCATGACAAGGACATGGCGTCGGCCGCCCATGCCGCTGGATCTGGAATTGGAGACACGCATAACGGCAGCTGTGTGTTGAAGCGAGTCGCAAACAGGTCGATCAGAGGGCGGCGTGACTGTGACAAAGAAGTTTGAACGCTTCTGGATGTAGCATCCACTCTGTTGGAGACGGTTTGCCCGCCTTGAAGCCGTCTGCCAAAAGCGTTACGTGCACCCTGGGATGTGTCGGGCTCTGGCTGATGCCATTGTCGTCCAGGAGACTGGCCAGCTGGAACGTCTGCTCCAACAACTGTTTGGACCTGGTCGTTCCCTGATTGTGAATCAACCACACCACCATGGAATTGTCCGACGCTATCAGGAGCCTGGTGTTCCGCAACAGAGGCACCCAGTGTCGAACAGCTAAAATGACTGCTTGCAGCTCAAGTTGTTGATGTGCCATCCTAGCTTCGGTGCCTGACCACAGCCCGAGGTGGTCTGGTCGTTGAGGTGAGCACCCCAACCTTGAAGAGAGGCGCGATCTACCTAACAGTTCGTGATCGTGGGAACAAACTCTGTCAAGGAGACTCCTCGCAGGCTCGTTCGACTTCGACAGTCCACCAACGGAGGTAAGCGTGGAGATGCAGGGGCAAAAGGAACCTCAACTGAAGGTCGTCCGCCTGGATGTAAAAGGCAACAGGAAGCTGTAACGGCCGAAGCATCAAGCGACCTCCTGGCGTCAAGTCCTGGAAGCTGAGGTGAGGAGACCTAAGAGGGACTGCCACTCCCTGAGCAGGAGGCGGCTGGGATAGACCTCGGTTGGCTTAAACTGACAATCTTTCTCCAGCGATCTAGCGGAATCCTGACAAAGATGCGCAATGTGTCAGGAAGAGGCCTCCTATAAACGCCAGTTCCTGGGGCGGCTCCAGGTGGGATTTGTCTATGTTGATAATCCATCCCAGTTGCTGCAAGAGATGAATGGCAAAGTGCATCTGTTTGCGAAGCAACTAATGAGGGTCGAGGTGGTTCATGAGACAGTCGTCTATATAAAGGTCGAAGTCGATGCCCCTGAGGATGGAGGAACGGGTGATCGGGCGAGGTAATCCGGTAAAAAGCCACGGGGCGTGGAAATTCCAAATGGAAGCACTTTCCACTGGTAGTGGGACCCGTTGAAAAAGAACCTCAGGTACTTTCTGTGGCGGTGGTAAATGGGCACATGCAGGTAGGCATCCTGAAGGTCGAGGCTGGCCAACCAGACCCTGAAGCAAGCTAACAAGTAGCTGTTCCAGGGACACCATCTGCGGAAGTGAGGCGGTTCGAAGATAAAGGTGGTTGAAAACTGCCATGTTGTGAATCATGCGTAGTTTCCCTGAGTCCTTCTTGGGAACCAGGAAGATTGGTGAGTAGAACCCGGGGACTGTCGGGGGTCTAGCACTGTCTCTATAGCTTGTTTGGCGTAACAGAGTGTGGATGCTGTCTGCTAGCAGTAACTGTTGGTCTGGAGCATACACACGTGACTGGGCGTTGAAGTCAGAAGCGCGACACGGCGATTGGCAGCGCTTAACCGGGTCCTGAGAATGTTGGTGATAAGCGGGTCTTCCAGGATTGTCCAATTGGGCCAGAAGATCCCTAGTCTCCCGCCTACTGGAGTAGGACGAACCGGCACGACTGGGGGGAGGTCCCAATCGTGTTGGGTGCTTAACTTCAGCGACCCGAAGTATAGCGCCTCCCCACCCTGCCGGGCATCGAAGGGGGTCGGGGCGATCCTGCTGACGGGCGCTGAAAAAACAGGTTGGATCTGCCACGCCACGTCCTCTGCCAGAATGGCCGCGGGACGAGTCTCTTCTGTGGGGCGTAACGGCGCTTCCCTCTACCCTTGCAGATGATCTGCCACGCAGGTCAACTCAAAGCTTGACGTAGACAAAACCGAAACCTCCGTATTGGTAAGCTCTGCGTGTTCCTTATACACCTCCGAATGCCCTCATTAAAGAGGAAACGTAGACGCAAAGGGGCTC